CTGTGCTTATGTGACTTGATTCTCAAAAAATCCAGGGCTCAGTGTCAGACTCTGCCCAGGAGATCATGAGTCTGCTCTCAGTTCTGTTGCTTTCTTCTTGTACCACCTTAAGCAAGTCACTTTAACTTCCCATGCCTCATCTCTTCCCCCATAAAATGAAGAAAAGGATACTTGCTCACTACTTATCAGCATTAGGTCTTAGTTAACGATTAGATTTGTGGAGCCCAAAGGAGGGAAAATAAAATCCAGCTTGCTGCTCGGTATTCTGTGGCTGTGCTTATTCTACAAAGGGCAGTAGCAATAAAAAATCAGGAGAAAAATTGCCTTAAGCAGTAGAATGAGAAGATCTACTTTAAGAAGACAAAAAGCAGGCCCTGCCAAGTAAGATGATGCCATTTTTTGCATAGGCAGTTTTGTGGAGGAAAACAGACGACTCTGGGAAGGCGCTTTGCTTCCGCCGGCACAAAGGTGGACTGAATCAACCCACCAGGATTCATGGTCATGTTTTCGCGGAGACAAGATATTTCACTCCTCCAGCCTTCTCATCACCCAGTTACCATAACTATATAGGAAACATATAAAGCTATCTCTACCATTTAAACCCTCACATTTTGACAGAAAATTGGATGATATGACATGCTGCCTTCCAGAACAGGCGCTGTCTATCACCTTGCTGCTAATCTCTGTGATTAGTGACCTGCAATGTAAGTCAGCTATCAAAGACCACCTGTCCCTTTTGCTGTAAGCACCTCCTAGCATATCGCTTTGTGGTGTCACACTCTCTTGTCTGGATTTTGATTGATGGAAGTTTGTCTTTTGAGCGGTGACTCAGAAAATAAATCATTCCCCTTGCCATTCATTGAGTGCGATTCTGCAGCACAAAGCCAGTGTGGTTAATCAAAGCTCCAAAGAGCAACAAAAAAGCAACAGAACCGAGAATGAGGAGGATAGATATAAAGGATAAAACATAATAAAAAGGATTATTTGGGAGCAAACCAAAGCAAAAGCAAAATAAAAAGAGCTACAAATAAGCATTGCGTTTACTGCACTACTGCACCAGAACTAGAAAGCTGATGTTTTTGTTCTGCTTCTTGACATATATGCAAGGATGTGAGAAAAGTCCCACACCTCTGAAAAATGTAACTATGTCAAGGAGTCTGATTTTATAGGCTTTAGCATGTGAGTAACCCTTTCTGGGGTCAGTGGGATTTTTCTGATTTGAGTAAGTAAAGCCTGAAGGATGCTTCTGCTGCGAATTGTACTCCAAACCAGCTTGTGGTCCAGCTGTGGTCCAGGATTGTACACTCTGAGGACTGACAAAAATAAGAATGGCTATTGCCATTAATTGGCCTGGAGAAAAGGAAAAAAAAAAAAAAAAAAAAAAAGATGAAATTTGATATGTTATACAGTCAGCAGTGTGATGAAAGAATCAAACTGAGCCAGAAACACTGCATTATAGGGCAAGAAAGTCCTTTCCAAATAGAAACAGCTCAGAGCAGAAGGCTTTTGTACTTTTATGGAGGGAGAAAGAGTGAAGGGATGGAAAGGACAATATTAGAAGCCTTGTTTTTTTATATCAGGTCCAGCAAGTTTATGTAAGCTTTTAAAATTATGAGGAACAATCACAAGCTAGAGGCGGAAAGAAACTGGTGTTTGAGTATGTAACTGAGACGAGTGTGATCCTTTGTATTCGCCCTGTGCCAGAGAAGTCAGGAAAAATGTGAGGTGTTGATGGCACGGGTGAAACTGTAGCAGAAGTGAAATCAAGACACAAGGAGTAGCAGATAAAAAATAATAATCTATCACAGAAACACTATGAGGCAAGTTCCCTGACGAAACAACTACAGCGAAGGCAAAGTATCTAAACCATCTGGGAACTGGGCCATAAAAATGAGATGACAAGAACTGCGTGTCCATGGAGAGGTGCTGGAAACTTACTTAAGTCAGTTAATGCAACAGTTCCTTCTTAAAAAAAAAAAAAAAAATTAAAAAATCTTCATTATGTGTTTTGGGGGTGACCTTTCTAGTGAAAAGTGTCTCCTTACAAGTGGGGAGACAGAGAGAAAGAAAGGGCTGAGGAGAGTTAAATTTATAAAGACGTGAATGAATTGGGAATTGAAGCACTGTTATAGAGAAATGTGTATGCGAATGGTGCAAATTTACAGGGCTATTTTTGATGAACTGTAGGAGGAATGTCAGTTTTTCAGCACCTTTCTTTACGCAAAGAAAAACCTTCATCTGGTGGGAATTCAATCAATTTCCTGATGGTTTTTTGGCCATTTCCTAAGTTGCAAGGTTACTAATGGTAATTACAGACTCTGTTTGTACCTTGTGGCTCTAACTGTGCAGAAAGGTTTTCTTGGCACGTGCGCCTTTCCCCGCTAGCGGGTTTTTAAATGACTGGCCCTTGGTAGGAGTTGCTGCAATACTCATGAGCAGGTAGAAGCCTCCTTATTTATTTCTTATAGAATATAGCAACCGCTTCTCGCTCACATTTTGCTATCTCCATCCCCCATGACAATAAAGCACAATTTCAGTGTTCATTATAACAGCTCTTAGTACAGCGACGTTGCGAAGGACCCTGTTTTAAGGTGTTTTATTAAAAGGTATAACAAACCTGCTCCTTTTGAGGATTTCACATAAACAGAGATGGTATAAAGGAGATAAACAAATTCAATAACAGTTGCAAAAAAAAAAAGTCACAATTTTTCAAGCAAAAAAAAGTTGGGTTTTTTCCAAGGGAGGAAGCAATCAGATGTTCTATTCCTTTTACCTCTCTCAAGTGTGAAAGTACCAATATGTTTGATTCGATGCAGCAAAATATCTACCAATATTTGGTAGATCTCTTGCACACTATTACTATGTTAAATCGGCCCTTTAGCATAACACCATTTCCTTCCCTGTTGCTTCTACATTCAGGCCTTAGCTTTTGCACCTCTCAGACCCTTATTCTGTAAATCATTTAATGTGTGTAAATTTTGGCTGGTGAGTAATGCCATTTGCATTCACTATATTGAACTTACACAGTTCATGAATGAATTTAAGTCAGTGAGTTTGGTGGCTTTAAACACATGTTTAAAATCAAAGTGGTGCTCAAATCTCTGCAGATGACTTAAGTAAAGCTCAATTATAAGACCCGCTCCCCTTCCTCCCCATCCTTCCATTTGTGTTCAATAGTTTCTACGTGTTTTGCTGACAAATAGGAAGTGTGAACTTGGTCTCCTGCCACCACTGGAATACACTGGGAGAGAATTAAGTGGAATTTTTTTTTTTTTTTAAAGTAGTGTCTTAACTGCTGGGAAGAGTGCCACAGAAACCGAACAAGCCATCAGAACTGGGTTCTGTCATTGCAAAGTTCATTTTGGAGGCTGAAGGGACAAAACCCAGAGAGCAGTTTTAGCAAAGTCAGAACTGCAGAAATAGGAGTAGGACCCTCTTTTTCTTTGCCCAACTGCAGGTGTGTCTCACAGCCATCCTGCAGGTCTTGCTGTCTCCTGCAGTCTCTCTTCAACTCGAGAATTTGCTTAGTTATGCTTGTGCCAGACAGCTTGGCAAGCGAAGAATTCATAATGAAATGTTGTCTTCAAGCTTCTGCATGAGTATTATGATTTGTAGGTTATCAGAACCTGTGCTAAGAGTCCTCCATCCTTCACAGGCTCATAGTTTTGAGAGCCACAAACGCTATGCTACACCACATCCCTTCACAAGCTCCCAGCGTGTTCATCCTCGACTACTGCAGCACCGTCGTGGTGTGCTGCAACACAAATCCAGGGTGCAGTATCCGACGCGAGGCTGGGGTCTGAGAGTCATGGAGGAGTGAGATTTCATTAGTATGTTTGGGATGTAGCCTTTCAAGAGAGAAATGCCAACGGAATGTGATTCAGTACTTGCCAATGGACTTCCATACGTATTTGCTATGAAAAAGACCGAGAACTGATAGGTGTTTTCCAATCCTCTTCCTTTCTGTTTTTAAGTACTAGTAAACAACAACATCCTGGTGTGGCATTTAGAGATTCAGCTTCTGTTCTTTAGCAGTCAGGAGGACTCAGTTCCTAAGAAACTCAGCCTGTAATTACAGATTTCAGTGTCTGGTTTGTGGGTTTTATCAGTATTTTTCCACATAAACCAGTTTAGGTATTCAAAAACATATTTTACCATCTTGCTGAAAGTCACTGACTTTTTTTTCCTATGGCTTCTGTTGCATTTAATAAGCTTAAAGTGAAAAGACAATTTATTAATTATTTTGACAAAAATACTTTTAACATGTGTTTTATTTCTGATATCAATTTTCTCTGTGTGCAGATACGTATGTTTGCATACTGGTGCATATATACATTGGTTTTCCCACGGGCAGAAATCCCAGGCCATGCTGTTACATGAAGCAGAGCACTATCATTTATTTACACTTTCTCAACTCTGCTTAAGTTCTAATATATTTCCAGCTGAGTAAAGATGAGCCCTCTGAATAAAAAGACATTTTCATTCTATTTCCATCCATATCTCACCCCTTCATTCTTTTCTCCCTCTCCCTTCCCACATGCCTCCTCACACTCTCTATTTCTCTTGTTCATTCCTTCTAACCTCACGATCTATCAAAACACTTTTAAAACTATAGGACAGCATTTTTCGCAAAGTCCTCTGGCTCCCCAAATAGAGACATTTCAGCATGGCCTGATTTCCCAGAGATTAGGTGACTGATGTACCAAATACATGTCTCCTGGAGGTGTCCGAATCACTTTGTGGAAAGAAGACACAGAAAATCACCATCAGTTTCAAATCCCCAAGTGCGTGCCCAGCTCAGACAGACGCGGGTTGCTGCGTGTATGTGTCCCGCTAGCTGTGGCAATTATTAAATGAGTCACACATAATTGAGACTTCCTTTCCATCAGTAATTGTTCTAAGAGGGTTTTCCTGCAGTCCATTAAGTAACATCTCTTTTGTTCAGTGCAAGAATGTATATAGAAGGCAAATTAGCCTGCAGGTGCCCAAAGGCGTGAACCTACATCCTATTTCTTTTATTCTCTTTCAGGTTATTCCAATCTGACCACCACACAGACGTCATTATTTTAATGTTGAATACTCAGACAAGGGTGCCATGGATGTAAAAGAAAGGAAACCGTATCGATCTCTGACTCGGCGCCGCGACACTGAACGCCGCTACACCAGCTCTTCAGCCGAGAGTGAGGACAGCAAGGTACCCCAGAAGTCCTACAGCTCCAGCGAGACGCTGAAGGCTTATGATCAAGACTCTAGGTTGACCTATAGCAATCGGGTCAAAGACATGGTGCACCAGGAGGCCGATGAATTCTGCCGAGCAGGTGAGTACATTTCAGAGGATGCTCCTGCAAGCAGCAAGAGTTTATCAGCTGAAGAGCTGGGGCTGGGTGGCAGGCTACCTTTGAAGGACTCTGAGGCCAAAAGCAAGATTTAAGGAAAGAGAGCAGCAAGGAACATCTTCATTGCATTGCACAGACATGGGATGTGTGCGAACCAATGTCCTTAAGTGGGACATCACTAGCCCATGTTCATTAGCATCTAGTAAGACACATTTTCGGTGTCTTAGTCTTTCTGTTTCCAACAGTCCTTTGCCACTTTTCACCATGAGATCAGACCTCCTGTGTATGTGCTGCACAATATTGACATAGTGTGGAAAGTTCCTGCCTGCTCAGGAGACCTTTTCACTATGTCACATGCCTGCTTTGTCATGAAGGAAGTCAACAAGGATGCTGAGGTAGAAGAAATCAAGGGGAGAGTGCCACTGTCCACATTGCCCATCTAGGCCACAGCAAAACCCAAGAAGCCTGGAAGAAGGGAGGCAACTGAGCTGCAGATGGGATGAACCACCCTTGGCATTATATATGGCTTGCAGGCTGTAGGTTTGAGATGGTGACATGCTCCAATATTAGAGGAGTGGTGAAGAACCACTTATAGGAGTCCGTTTAGTCAATGTAGGTCACTGTAGCTGTGAAGATGTGAAGGTTCAAGGGCCAGCATGGGCTCCACAGTCCTAATAGATATTCCAGATATTCTCCTTTTTATCGCTAGCCATAAGTCAGTGCAGCTACATTTCCACTGCTGATGTTGCCTATGTGCGGTAGGTTTCTGGCCCCTGCTACAGTCTCATCTTCATTTTTCTGTAGAGACACGAGTGACTTAGTTCAGAAACCAAGCAGGGCTTCACATAAATTATTTTTAGAAGTCCATCAAGAAAAGCATAAAATGGCAAAGCAAGACAAATAGAGTAGGCAGCATTCCAGACAATGAACGTAAAATAGCTGACCCAGGCTGCTCCCACCCTCTGCAGTTTGGAGAAGCTGACTGCCCAAAGCGAATACGTATAATTGCACTCGTTTAACTTGGGGGCTGCTTAATTTCACTCTTCAAACACCATGCACTTGTGGTTTTGCTGCAAGACTCATCTTTAAGGCATGCACAAGCAAAATGACTTGCAGAAGTATCTTGGTGCACATGGCTTTCGTGTTTGTATTTCAGGATAACTGCAACAGGCAATAATTAACAAAAGGGCCAATAGGTGTTGTAAGTAATACTTTGAAATCATAAAAGGAGTTTCCCTCTTAGCAACTCTGAAGTACTTCATCCTCTCTAAGGAATCTATGAAGTTATAAAGAAAAGGAAACCTTTTAGGTCATTGAGTTTGCTTACTTCGTACAATATATTCACCATGCAGGATAGATTTGAATTAGTACAGGTCAGCGGTTTTCAACCTGAGGGTCTACGAGGCCATGCAGGTCCACAGACTTCTCCTAAGAAGCCCACAAAAGATAAATAAGAAAAGCCAGTCTATTGACAGGGAGTATAAATTTGCTACACACAAGTTCATACTTCTCTAGGAAAATTTTGTAGGGTACTGAAAAACAGTAAAAAACACTGGTCTAAGTGGCCAAAATTAATTGAGAAGTTAAGATTAACCATGTCAGGGCACCAGTTCTGATATATCACCCACAGATTTTTCAATTTATAATTTTCTCCCAGTTTATCCTGAGAGGCCCAAGAGTGATCTGAAGTGTGTTAACAATTACCCCAGACATTCTGTGCCACATTTTCCACTGGCACAAAGCCATGAGTGGACCTCACTTGGTGGTGCTGCCTGGGCTTATGCCAACTGAAACCAAGCCTTATTAGCCTGCTCAACATCAAGGCAAAGTGAATTTCTCTCCTGCATTGGTTTGGAAGGCAGAGGAGGGAAACATTTCAAATTGATCAAATAAATTCAGTAAATAAACAAGTCAGCATTTAAATGGTTTTACCTAGAGTGAGAGTGCCAGCAAATGTGCAAGTCAGCACAGGAAAAAATAGACCAGATCTGAATTAAAAAGTCTCAGATATTTATTATCTTCCTTTTATTGACTTGAGTTCTTCCAGCTTAAAAGGCAACAGTGAGCATAGAATATGAAAATCGATGCATCTCCTGCTGTTTATTGCAAATAAATTTGATTTTCAGTTAATTGTAGCAGTCATTTTTCATAATTTATGAGCTGCTGTTACTGGAGAGCATCAGTCATGCTGCACATTGATGTGTCTGATGATGTTGAGTGTGGCTTGTTTCAGGGGAAGGTGGAACTTGCCATCAGTGAGTCAAATGTGCAAGCAAAACCAAAAGATGACGTTTTCCAGTATTCCATGGAGGATGGTTTAAAAACTATCTGGCCTTGTAAAATATCAAAACTGGAAGAGATGAGCGAAGTCTCTGGGGAGATACTGCTTCCTTGCGTTTATAACTTGGGTCAAGTTCATTTGCTACCTCATGCCGTGGACTACGAGAATGCTTTCTCAGGCCACTCTGCAATCAAGTTAAATGGATTAATTTGCCGCAAGCTTGTGTTGTGCTCCCTGAGCAAGGCCCTAGGGTTTGACTGAGGTGTGAGCATCAAGCAACCTTCTCTGTCCACTCTGTCTGAAAGCTTGTCTGGTCAATTAAAAAGGTGTAAAGTTCATGAATACTTTATATAGTTTGAGTGCTATCAGCTGTAGATCCGTAACCAGACGAACCATGGTTATTTCCTCTTGATGTCAAACAGGTCCTTCTCTAAGCTTTACATGGAAATTTTGCCCAGTCCCATTATTCACCTTGCATTCAAATATCTTCTCTCTGTCCACTATGAGCTGCAAAGTCAAGTGATGAAAAAGTATAGTGCAATAGCACCTACTTGGGTCCAGCCGATCATTCGATGCATACGAGACCTTCCCCATGCAGCAGGGCTCAGGGACAAGCATGAAACCAGATTCTGAAAAAGTAGAAATCAGACTGTTTCTATTCAACACACTTTTTCCACCACATGATATTTAACATCAACAAATGGAAATGTGAGGATAGCCGCATGCTTGCGTGGTTTTCAGCAGGGAGAGAATCATAACTCAGTTTTGGATACAAACTTGAGGTTCAGACCTGATGAACAAATTTCAATAAGTAGATGTGAACTTCACTGTTCAAAGGTAGGTTTGGGCCTGAACTTTCCTGGAGACTGTGCTTTCAGATTTATCTTGTCAAAACATGCCTGAGCTGCAAACACTGCTCTAAAACTGAGTCTGTGGCCTGTGCATAGCTTTGGCAGGTTCCACCTCTCTTTTTATGGCAGGGGATTTACATATTGAAATAATGGGAAGAAGCCAGCTAGACCGAATGTGATCACCAGTGTTGGTATTTGGCCATGACCGGTTATAGATAAAGTTCCTTAATCCACCCGATCAAGGCGTAGCGTAACAGGAGCAGGGGTGCATTGTGCCGTATAAATGCAGGGTGCAGCTAAAGGCATTCATGGGTGGCCAAAATCTTTTAAAGAAAGACATTTAGGGTGGAAAAATAGAAGCACGCATTAATAAATAAATGTGGATTAAAATGGAGCCACGAATTGCTCTCCCCAGCTTTCTCGTGCAACTTTCCAGACAAAGTGTGCTAATATTTAAAGCCTCATTCACATCGATTCGGTCAGATTTTGAAGCTCTGCAAGTAACTAGACATGAACTCAGGAGTCATTTTCCAGTTGTATTTTTATTCAGCTAAACAATTGCATCTATTTGCAGCCAAATAACCTCTCCTGCCACTGAGCGAATAGCTAAACTCAGTCAAGGTGTGAGTGGTCAGCAAGGGGAAAGTGAGATCGCCAAAGGAAATTTAAATCACCAGTATATAATTTCAAGGATTTCAATGAGCAGAACTCACTCTTGCCAGGTATATGGAAGGACTTTTGATCATTGCATGACTCATTTTGCTTTTCTCCCAAGACAATTACTTTTTACCTCTCCTAAAGAATTTCACCATTTCTCCATCTGTCTTTGCTCTCAAATTGGTTGATTTAATTAAATACACTCTTGAGTTTTTGTCAGGCTCCAGAAGCAGGAATCCAGCTGCTTTTTCATCTTGGCATGGTCACTTGGTCTCACACTAAGCAAGACCACAAAACAGGGGAATCTTTGGTATGACGCTAGGACTCAGGAGCTGCTGTGCCCCACTTGAAGACAGAGGATGAATGGTTCTGCCAATGACTTGTGCTAGATTAAATTACCCCCTATTAAAGAGTAACCAGGCTGCTGTGTTTTCTCCCAGGAGCCAACTTCTCTTTGCGAGAGCTGGGTCTTGAAGATGTGACACCCACACATGGGACTTTGTACCGGACTGATATCGGGCTGCCTCACTGTGGCTACTCCATCAGCGCCGGCTCGGATGCTGACACGGAGGCAGATGTGGTCATGTCACCCGAGCACCCCGTGAGGCTCTGGGGACGCAACACCAAGTCCGGACGCAGCTCCTGCTTGTCAAGCCGGGCCAACTCCAACCTCACCCTCACCGACACGGAGCACGAGAATACCGAAACTGGTAAGTGATGACAGTGCATGCGATGTTCAGCCTTGAGCTCTATCAGGAATGCCTCTTCTTATCACTCCACCTTAATTTTAGGTTTTGTGTTGTGGGGTTTTGGGTTTTTTTCAGACTCAGTGAAAACACTCTTCTAATAGCCCCATGTCATGGCCTTTTGTACTGTCCTACAGAGTGTTTGTTAATAAACTGCTGGAGAAGCTCCTACTTATTTATCACAGCGACAGAGATCATTAAGTGGCTGTAATACTCTCTCTGCTTTCCGTAGTGACCTTTCAGACAAAAAGCATTTAAATCTCCCCTCCTCTGGCCAATGCTGCTCTTATCTTTGCTACAGATTTTCGGGGCAGATAATTTCCTTCTTTTCCTTGCCAGTTCCTTGACAGGAGCCGTTTCATTTATGTAAATCGGCTGACTGCTCTTTGAAGGAAAACGATGGTGAAATATTTTTAGAAGCCTTTTTCTTCATGTGAAATAAAAGCTGAAGGTCACAGATTTTTTTATCTCTGTAACTTTGTGTCCCCAGCTGCGGGGACTCCTGCATGTGTTTTGTAGGTCTGTGAATGTTTTGGTCAGCAGTTCTGCTAAGCAGTGTAGGAAGGAGAGAGGATTTTGATTCAATTGCAGCTTGACCCAGGAGTTCACAAAGCCCTATATGCCTTTGCACCTTTAATTCAATTATGGCACAGTCTGCTTCTTAATATAGCCACTGCGTACAAGTCATCGGGAGCTCGAGCTCCGTGCAGAAAGCTGATGTGAAATGACTGTATTGCTTGTTCTCTTTATGCTTTTTGCCACAGTATTATAGTGACAAATGATGATAACTTTTCCCTGGGAAGCCATGACACGGTGAGACATACACCACCCACATGATTTTATGTTTAACTCCAACAAAATTACAGTAGAAGCTTATTAAGTTTCTGCTCAGAGATAATGATATATTAGGCAAAGTTCAAAGATAAACAGCCTTCTGTTTAAAGCATGTACAGAAGAATCTTTCTAAATTGTCTTTACAATATTTTTTTTAAGTCTCTTTGTGTAGTATCTTACAGGGTTGCACCCATTAGGACAGGCAGACACGCACTGCCAGATTATATTGTTTTTTCTTCCAAGCCTTGTGTTTTGATGAAAAATCAGAGGGATCATCAGGGTCAATCAGAGTGTTGCACACCCCCAAGAAATCACTAGAAAACAACCAAAAGCAAACACCTTGCACTTCCATCACTGTCTTCTGTATCCAAAGCTCTCTCTTGTGCTTTTCATGGTGGTGTACGAGCAGCTGGGATCCTATCTCATACATTTTTCTTTCCACAACTACTAAGAAAAGTACAGTATTTTAGTCCTTTTTTTCTTTTTTTTTTTTTTTTCCCTTAAGAGAGAAGAATTACATTAGCTGCGGGAGTCTTTTTCACTGGTTTCCGTAATGCTATCTCTACATGTGCAAATGTAACTTTGTACCTACAGATCACTTACAAATGAAATTATATTAGCAACAACACATTAGCAATAGCACATGCCTTGAAAGGCTTTACTGAAACTAATAACAGAGGCAGTAGTACTCATGTCAGGACTGAGACAACCTCCAATTCCTCTTCCCTTAAATTTAATGACACACTAACCATTTGTTGAACCACCATTTCATAGCGATTGGAAAAGGGAAGACGGAAAGGTGAAGAACATACTGCAGGTTATTTTAAGTAAGTGCTGTACAAATGTAGAAGGAGTTTCTTTGGGCCCTAGGTATTTGTAATCTTAGGTGTTGAGTGTTATGAATGAGAAAGGCTATATCATACTCAAAAATACAAAGTCTGTAGCATAAATAAAATCTAGAGAGCGGTGGTGTCCAGTATGTAATTGTATTGCTTGTATTGACAAAAAAGAGGTGGTGGAACTTGAGGGAAAATATTAGGATCCAAACTGTGCTGTTGGGGAGCTTCAGCTGATGTTTAGAGTTCTCTTGGAAGATAGGAGCAACATCAGCCAGGTTCAGGTCAGAAAAACGGGTACCGAGCTGGGACAAAGACATATAATTTCAGTATAGGGATTGCAGTTGAATTGGTGGTATAAATGGATCAAAAAAAAAGGTTGCAAGGGAGGAAGAGAAGAAGGACTAAGGAAAAGTCTTAAATGTACACAAAATTTGGACATTTTAATTTTGTAATTGCTTGGCACAGATAAGAGCGTGAGAAACTTTTGCACACAAACCTGTCACAGCCTGAAACCAGCTGTCAGAGCAAATAAAGCCTGAGATCCTCACAGAATCTTTGTCTAGCAAATGCAAAGGTTTCTCTGTGTTTCCTCCATCTGCACAGAAGCAGTGTGACTCTTGGCCCTCCGCTGCTAGCTATCACACGGGCTATTTTGAGAAATCCCAGATTTATAGGAGAACTGTGTTCAAGACGACATGAAATTTTGCTAATGGCAGCATAAAGTAACATAATGCTATGACTCAGTTTACAGGATACCTTTATTAGTCAATATTAATTGTTGACAGTATTGATAGAAGTTATAGCCTTTAGCTGAAGTCAATATGGAGCTTTATGAACCTGCCATCAATAGAAGATTTTATGGGGCCCATTAAACCAACTTTTCCAACTAAGGTTAATGTCAGCAATTTTTGTGCTGTTCATTATTTATCCAAAATAAATAATCAGAATTTACTTCTGATGTTTGTAAATCCAAAGCTGTCACAGGGTGATTCTACTGAGACATTTATTGTGTTCTTAGAAAATGAGAGGTCTTGCTCCCCCCAAAAGCAGGTTTGCTTTTATTTGAGGAGTGGTGATGCCTTGAAGGAACAGATACACTGCTCTGTAAGCGCAGCCACAATCCACCCCTCTGTCTTTAAGGAAACCGATGAAGTGGTCTGGTTCCATGGCATATCACAGTTCATAAATCACTTGCACTGGCAGCTGGCATGAAAAGCCATGTGTTGCTTTATCTAAACTGTTCCTAGGCTTTCCTGGAGGTTGAATACTTTTACTAGGTTAAGAGTTTGTTTTCACTGAAGAGTTAGTTTGAGTTCTAACTCTGGCATTGCCCTGAGCTCAGATCCTGCACACCCAAACAACCCTGGTGCCTTCCCCTCTGTTGGGCAATGCTTTTCGCTCGACCTGGACCGTCATTTTGCAGAGCACAGGGACAGAGGGGACAGCTCAAGTTATTACACCTTGTCTGGGGATAATGCAATCACTCTGTGCTGCTAATGTAGCAGGCACTTCATATAGCTCAAGGATTATTCTGCAGCATGACCATGTAGGCTAACCTGAAATTGTGAACTCCCATTAACAGTTCAGACTCATGCACAGGGAAGAGTTTGGTTCCTGGAAGTCTAGTGACAAAGTTAGGAGAACCTCTTTCCTATACTAGTTCGCACTGTTTCTCAGCAAGACTGATTCAAGCAAAAGAATTTCCTGAAGTGGTCATTTGGATCTGAGCCTGGAGTTAACTGGCATGTGTTACCTTAGGTAACCCTGAACAGGCTTTGTACTGAGCCAGCAATTGTTTAATATAGAGAAGAGCACAATGAAGGAGAACAAGGTAATAGTCTCCTAGAAATTGACTTATTTTGCAGCAATTCAGTCTCATACTAAAAGCAAAATATTTCTAATCATAAAGACATCATCATAAAAATACAGAACCTCAGCATGATTTATGTTGGAAGGCACCACTGGAGGTCTTTGGTGAAGTCTCCTGCTAACTTTGAGGTCAGATCAGGTTGCTCAGTGCCTTGTTCAGTTGTACTTTGAGTATCTCCCAGGATGGAGAGGCCACAGCCTCTATGTCCTGGTTCTGGCGCTGACCACCCTTCTTGCGAACAACTTCTCCTAAGAGCTAGTCAGAATTTCCACTACCGCGACTCGTGTCCATTGCTTCTCATCCCCTCACTGAGCATCTCCAAGAACAGTCTGGGTCCATCTTCTGTATATCCTCACACCTATAATATTTAAAAGACAGCAGCTAGATCTCCCTTTAGCCATCTCTTCTCCGAGCTGAGCAAAACCACCTAGATCCTCCTTTAGTTTTTGGGCACTGGAGGAGATACAGGAGTCTGAGGAACTCAGTGCTAAAAGTTTTTAAGTGTAAACTAGACAAATAGCTGCTGAGAATGGTCTAGATTGGATGCTGCTTTAGTCAGAGTGGCTGTGCATGCTGGCCTCTTGAGCATCCCTCTTTCTCCAACTTCAATAGTTTGTAGCATCGCTGAGGTCTCTTTGACCTCAGGGGCACACAGGACTGTTTGGAGAGAGCTTTGAGCACCTCAGGCTTCTGTACTGCTTAGGGCACTCCTGACAGACGTAGGGATGGACAGTGCTTGTGTGTAGGCACCCATGAAACAGGCTGTGAATATTTCCTTTGGGTCTGTAAGGGAGATCTTATCCCAGATCCACCCAAACGGTTATGTATCATGCTGGTAGTCCCCAGATAGATATGAACATGAGAGATGGGCAGAACATGTAGATATTCCCGTACAGAATCCCTCCCCGCAAAAAAAAAACCAAACCAAAACCCCCCAAAAAAACCAACAAAAAAAACCCAACCGCAACAAACAAACCACAACCACTTTTTTCTCTGCCTTCAATGCGATAAAGATCTTACTGGTTTATTCAGTGTAATTGCTGCAGAATTCCTTTAGACCTGGGCCAACTGCATTTTTAAAATTTGTCTTTGTGAAAATGTAGTTCTAAAAAAAGTGGAGTTTTTCTAAAAAAAACCCCAAATAACCCCAACAAGTTTACTTTTTGGCTGATCCAAACAAGCTGAGGCAAACTAAAGATTCACTTTAGTTTTAATCTGGATTTAGTGTGAATATCCACCAAGGCACGCAGTTGGTTAAATGAGAGGGAGCAGGAGAGAGAGGGAGTGGTTTTCTTCGTTAACAGGACAAGTCAGCAGTGATTAATGCTGCGTACATGTGCAGAGTGGAGCTGATGTTTCTCTCTGTCGTCATCTCCTCTTGGGAAGAATGTGGGCAGTACCAAGAGGCCAGAAGGATCTCACAGGCAGGATGAGTAACATCAGATGGCTCGAGACAGTTCAACCGAGCTGGAGATGCTCAGTTGTGATATATTGTGTAAAGAAATTATTGCAGCAGAAGTGTTGCTGAAGTGAGGCATTTTCTTATCTAGTGGACTGAAAGATTAGTAGGCATGAACTAAAATTCCAGATCTAACCACCCTGGAAGCCAAAATTCAGGCTGCACGAC